TGGAATGCATTGGACACAAGTGTTTGTTAGAAAAGGTAGAGGAAATGACTAAGGGGAGACACTGTTCTAAATTTGATTCTGACAAACAGGGAGGAACTGGATGAGGATGTGAAGGTGGAAACCAGCTTAGGTGAAAGTGATCATGAAATGATAGTTCATGATTCTAAGGAATGGTAGAAGGGTAAACAGCAGAATAAAGACAATGGCGTTCAAGACAGCAGACTTTAGCAAACTCAGAGAATTGTTAGGTAAGATTCCATGGGAAGCAAGTCTAAGGGAAAAAAGAATTCAGGAGAGTTGGCAGTTTTTTAAAGAGACATTATTAAGGCACAAGAGCAAACATTGCTAATGCATAAGAAAGATAGGAAGTATGGCAACAGACCACTCTGGCTAAAGTAGGAGATCTTCAATGACCTGAAACTCAAAAACACAAGCATGTAGGGACAAAATTAGAAAGCTAAGGCACAAAATGAGATTAAACTAGTTCCAGACATAAATGGTAACAAGAAAACACTTTACAAATACATTAGAAGCAAGAGGAAGACCAAGGACAGAGTAGGCCCATTACTCAATGAGGAGGGAAAGACAATAACTAACATAGTGAACATTAGTGTAAATGGGGTAGGATTTGAGGGTAAAATATGGAAAAAACAAGTTAAGAATTACTTAGACAAGTTAAATGTCTTCAAGTCAGCAGGCCTTGATTAAATTAATCCTAGAATATTTAAGGAATTGGCTGAAGCGATTTCTGAGCCATTAGCAATGATCTTTGAGAACTTGTGGAGGACAGGAGAGTTCCCAAAGGATTAGAAAAAGACAAATATTGCCCTTTTTATAGATAGGTACTATACGACTAACTCAGGGAATTACAAACCAGTCATCTTAACTTCAATATCTGGAAAGATAATGAAACAAATAATCAAAGAATCAGTTTGTAAACACTTAGAAGATTGTAAGGCAGGGGTCGGCAACTTTTGGCACGCGGCTCGCCAGGGTAAGCACCCTGGCGGGCCGGGCCAGTTGTATTTACCCGCTGACGCGGCAGGTTCGGGCGATCGTGGCCCCCACTTGCCGCGGTTCGCCGTCCTGGGCCCATGGGGGCGGTAGGAAGCGGCGTGGGCGAGCAATGTGCTGGTCGTGGCTTCTCGCCGCTCCCATTGGCCCGGAACGGCGAACCGCGGCCAGTGGGGGCCGCGATCGGCCGAACCTGCCGCATCAGCAGGTAAATAAAACTGGCCCGGCCCGCCAGGGTGCTTACCCTGGCGAGTCGTGTGCCAAACGTTGCCGACCCCTGTTGTAAGGTGATTAAGTAACAGTCAGTGTGGATTTGTCAAGAGCAAATCATATCAGACCAATCTAGTATTCTCCTTTGACAGATTAACCAATCTTGCGGTAGGGGAAAAACAGTAGATGTGATATATTTCGACTTTAGTAAGGCTTTTGATACTGTCTCACATGACCCTCTCATAAGGAAACTAGGGAAATGTAGCCTAGATGAACCTACTATAAGGTGGGTGCACAATTGATTGGAAAACCCTACTGAGAGAGTAGTTATCAGTGATTCTTAATTTAACTGAAAGGGTATATCTAGTGGAGTCCTGCAGGTATCTGTCCTGGGTCTGTTTGTATTCACTATCTTCATAAATGATTTGGATAATGGCATAAAGAGTATACTTATTAAGTTTGTGGATGATACCAAGGTGGGAGAGATTGCAAGCACTTTGGAGGATTACATTCAAAATGATCTTGACGAATTGAAGAAATGGCCTGAAATAAACAGGATGAAATTTAATAAGAAGAAATGCAAAATACTGCACTTAAGAAGGAATAATCAGTAGCACAAATACAAAATAGGAAATGATTGCCTAGGAAGGGGTACTGAAGAAAAGGATCTGGGGGTTCTAGTGGCTCACAAACTAAATATGAGTCAACAATGTAATATTGTTGCAAAAAAAGTGAACATCATTCTCAGAAGTAGTAGCAGGAGTGTTGTAAGCAAGACATGAGAAGAAATTCAAGACTGAAAAGACCTCAATGGGAGTCCAGTTCTGAGCACTACACTTCAAGAAAGATGTGGACAAATTGAAGAAAGTCCAGAGGAGAGCAACAAAAATGATTAAAGATCAAGAAAACATGTCCTATGAGGAAAGATTGAAAGCACTGGGTTTGTTTAGTCTGGAGAAGAAAAGGCTGGGGGGGACACACGCATGATAATAGTCTTCAAGTATGTGGTTATAAAGAGGAGGGTGATACATTGTTCTTCTTATCCCCTGAGACAAGACTAGAAGTAATGGTCTTAAACTGCAGGTTAGACATTAGGAAAAACGTCCTAACTGTAAGGATAGTTAAGCACTGGAACAAATTACCTAGGGAGGTTGTGGAATCTCTGCCATTGGAGGTTTTTAAGACCAGGTTAGACAAACGTCTGTCACGGATGGTCTAGATAATACTTAGTCCTGCCTCAGTGCAGGGGACTGGACTAAATGACCTGTTGACGTCCCTTCTAGTCCTATATATCTATGATTCTATGGGCCAGATGAAGGGCCACTGGCATAGAGGGGTTGTGGCTGCTGTTCCAGCCCATGTGCTAGAGTCACAGCCATTGAAGACTTGGGTCAGGAGAAGTGGATTTCACCTCCCCCATCTCTTTGCAGTCCATCTCTATGGAGCCCAAACATTCAGGCTTTTCTGTTCATGGAGTGAATTTCTGCTTAGTGAATAAAATATTGAAATGAATGCTTGTCAGTGAGAACAGAAGCACCAGAATTGCGGCTAGATGATTACAAAATCAAAGAATATTTTATAAATTCTCCATTATTCAATACATTGGTTTAGAGCCTCATTAACTCTGATGGTAACAGTTTTAATGAGCCAGGATATTACACATCCACTGCTGAGCAGTGAAAAGTCGGTCAAAACTACTTTTCATATGACAGATGCCCCCTGATGCAGTTAACACCACTTTAAGCATTAAGGCCATGTCCGCGGGATGTAAATTATCCTCTGTCTCAGCTTCCTACCACACCAGGCTCTGATCCAGTGTCTGTGTGAATCATGGAAATTGCTTTTTTTAAAAAGCAGTTAAATAAAACGCATACATTCTGATCCATCACTTGTCAGTCAATGGGCGATTCTCCACTGACTAATTGTAAGTTGGAACAAGTCCAGAATGAATAAACTTAGATGGCAATACATTAAATTTAAATGTTTCCTGCAATATTGCAACACTTGTCCTTAAAATTTTAATATTTACTGCAATGCTTAAGCTTAGATTTATACTTAAGAAGTTATGGGCATGGCTCTGTACCTTAGCTGAATCCCATTAGCAATCATCCTTTATGCTATAATTCTTTTGAAATGCGTAAGTACTAAAGACAGACTTATGAGAAAATGTGAACTATGGATACCTCCAGACGTAAAATTGTTTGGAGGACTTTGGGGATTTTGGCCTTCCTCTGAATTGGTACATACTCTAATTCTTAATGGCATCACTACAGCTACACCCCTGAAAGAGGCACTTTCAGGGGTGATATCAAGTGTTCAACAGATTGATATTAAGCCAAATAGCCAATCTTACAAATATATCCTGGCAAATTGACATAACACATATAAAAACAATATGAGAGATCTGACCCACCCATATCTAATTTTTTTAAGTGTAGCAAACAAAGATTATCCATGTGTTTTTAAAAAGTAAAAACTTCCTAAAGTCAGAGTTAGATATCAACTCTTCAGAAATACAGAGGGACACAGCTTCCCAGTGGGACACAACGCTTGCTTATTCTAGCCCTAGAGGAGCTTAAGGGAACAGTCTTTAAAGACATGGCATTTTAAGATGCCACAAATCTAAGTGATTTTTTTAAAGACATTTTGATGTATCTCTGAGCCCTGTACTATTGGATTAGGGCACTCTGCATAGTTGCATTGATTTCAGTGTGTTTTCTATAAAAATGTGGTATTTACAGAATATAGGATTGTGTCGTATGGTATAAGGATTTTCCCCACACTTTTTCTGGGATGGTCTGCCGAACTCCCTGGGGGATTTACTACTCCTGAGTAACGTGGCCATTGCAATTTCATGCTAATGAAACACTTAGATTGCAATGGCGATCGTTGGGGCAAGGGTCATCTTTTTGTTCTGTGTTTGTACAGAGCCTAGCGCAACGGGGTCCAGGTCCTTGACTACAGCTTATAGCCGCTGTGATAGAACAAATAAATAATAACAATAATAATAAATGTATGAATGCTTAAATTTCTAGTATTTGTTGTTTTCTTTCAGAATCTTAAAATATTGTGTACACAGCTTTTCAAGAGCAGACATAAATTAGCTTAGATAAACATTTAGCAGTTTATGCTTACTTATGTCAAGTTCAGAGCCTCTTTGCTAGATATTCATTCTATGGTGTATAGCACTGATTTAGGCAAATGTGACGAGTCAGCTGACATTCGTGCAAATTCTTGGCATTCGATTAATTTAGATTAATTTCTCTATACATTCTTTCATAGACTTTCATTTGATTTCTCTGCCAAGTAGCCATCAAAACAATTCCCGAGTGAGATTTTTGAAGCAGGTGTTAGCTATGGAAAGCTATTCAGTATTAACCGTACCTGCCTCACCTCTACAAACTTTGGAGACACCTTTTTTCCCCCCTGATTACTGTTCTTTCACAAAAGGCCTGATTTAAAGTATCTGTCAAATCACGTCTCTGGTTTCCCTCTTCTCCCCCCATTAATTGGGCATCTATTATGTTTGGGTGGGAAGGAAGGAGGCTGTAGGCTGATATAGCAATACTGCTGGGGAAAGAACATTAACATGGATAAAGGGATTTCCTAGTGGTATAAATACCTGCACACGACCTCCCTGTGCTCTGGAGCCCTTGTTTATGTATATATGCAAGTTAAGAGAACTGGAATAGAGTTTGACTGCTGTTAATCAATAAGGATATATTTTGTTAGAAAATAGGGGAAGGTGTTTCTTTGTCTTTTCTCCTTTTGTGGGAATGAGTTGCCAAGCATTTACTTCAGCCGACACCTTCGTCCCCTTGAATTCTGACTCTTCTCCCGCTCTGCCTCTGATAATGCATCATAGCGCTGCAGAATGCTTGCCCGTCTCCAACCATGCTACCAATGTCGTATCTACAGGTACTTTTTTACTAGAACAATTACACTCTTGTTAACTAACTTTCTTTTTAAATGCTTTACCCTCTTTCTGTAAATGTTGCCAAACTTAACATAGAGATAGGGAAACACAGGAACAGCTATTTCGTATCAGCTCTGTAGAGACTAGGGACTACCTTCAAGCAGGAAAGTTTTCACAAGGCTATGTAAAAATGAATACATCTAGTGTGACTAAAATGTTTGCATTTTAGCCAAGTTTGTAGCTATCTCTAAATTTGTTATAGGATTACGTTGAGGTATTTTACCATCACAGTGATGTACTGGCTACAAATACTATCAAACTTTTGTAATGCAAAATAGTCTTCAGTGACAAACGTCTCCTGAAATAAACCAAATTATATTTTGCCTATGAAACTGCAGTTTATAAATATCTAAATGTATGATTTCAAATGGGTGATATACTTAAAATGAGGCAGATGCTGATGGCATTAGCTGGGGAAAATACCCATTAATGGGGAAATTAACATTTTAATAAATATAATAAATACTGAGTAAAGACACTAGGATTTGGGTGAGATTTTCAAAAGCGCCAAGTTATTTAAGTGCATTGGACCCATCCTTCTGTGTTTTGGAAGTTGGCACATTTATCTGACTAGGAATTTTAGTATGTTTAACTTCAACTGTATGTTAAAACTGAATAAAAATCAAATGTTTCCTAAGAGACAGAAAATGTGCTTGCTACCTGAAAATGTACAGAACTAGAGTTTTATCTCATTGGCATTTCTGTTCTTTCGAATGAATGAAAATAAAAGTTCAGAAATAGAGAGAACTTGAATATTAATCTCAGCTAACTCAATGACTCAAATTGAGTTCCATGGAGGGGAGAATTTTACTTGATGTCTTCAGTAAAACGATGATCTCCTGTTAAGCATACTGGAAGTAACATCTTTCAATTGGAAGAAAAATGAACCACCTAAGTACAGCACACTCCACAGAAAATTGAGAGTATTGATGACAACATGATTGCATATTAAATAGCGGGCTCAAAATGTTTCATAGTGCTTGTTAGAAAAACATAGGACAACTTAAATTAGAGAAAAGAGGACAAATTTCTATATCAATTTTATGGTAGCATTTTCTGAATTGTTTCTTTTCTGACATGCTCCAAAGTAAAGAATTAAATGAACACATGTTGGCTGAAAATATCACCGCATCCTTTTACTAAGTCTATGCTTTAGTGTTTAATAATCATAGACCCAAGTCTGCAGTCCTTCCTAAAGCACAAATCCCACTGAAGTAAATGGAAATTTTGCCTAATAAGAAATGCAGAATCACATTCTATTTTATTGTATTATTACCCATAGCAAGAATGCCAGTATACAGTCCTAGAACAAAGAAAGACAAAGTGGGTGAGGAAATCTCTTTTAGTGGACCAACTTCTTTTGGTGAAAGAGACAAGTTTTTGAGGTACACAGAACTCTTCAGGTCTGGGAAAGGGGGAAATGAAATAGAACTCTATAACTTGAAAGGTTGTCTCTTTCACCTACACAAATTTGTCCAATAAAAGATATTACCTCACCCACCTGGTCTCTCTAATATCCTGGACCCAACACAGCTACAACACTGCATAAAACAAAGAAAGCAATAATAGAGAGAACATTTATTAGTATTAGGGGAAAGGTTCTAAGTTTTCAATACAGATGGCAAGAACTATAATACATAGTGCTATGGTGAGTCCGTGTAAAGAACTTGTGCAAAAAAGAAATGTATAAGGATTTTTACACTGAATCATTATATAATTATTTTTTTAAAATGACAAAATCCCTCACCATGCGTATGGGCCTTGTAGCTCCGTTGCATATGAATTAATTTTGCTAATCGGCACGTAAGTGAACACACACACACAAAAGCAAAGATAGTGCCTCATAAACTTTAGACAAGTATATGTTATCTGTATGCTATATATATTATTAAAGATATGTTCTGGAATAGATTTTATTTTAAAAAATATCTTAGCAATGTAAGACTTCACTCCAGCATCTGCTATTAAAATATTGCCAGGAAGTTGGAAATGTCAGTCTTTTATGTCTGAAAATCATGGGATGTGTGGATTAGCAAACTGCAGATTGGCAAAATTCAACAGTAAACAAGTAATTCAAAATAAGTCTTTAAGACTTTGTCTAAGCACAAAAGTTGTACAGCTTTATCTATACTGGTGTAGTTAAAGCAGAATAGTAGTCCCTAGTGTGGATGCAGTTTTGCTGGTATGAATGTGCTTTACCAGTCTAGTTTATTCCCATATGGAAAGAAGAATAAGCAATACCTATCTAAGGCTACGTCTTCACTACAGGGGGGGGGTCGATTTAAGATACGCAAATTCAGCTACGCGAATAGCGTAGCTGAATTCGACGTATCGCATCCGACTTACCCCGCTGTGAGGACGGCGGCAAAATCGACCTCCGCGGCTTCCCGTCGACGGCTCTTACTCCCACCTTCGCTGGTGGAGTAAGAGCGTCGATTCGGGGATCGATTGTTGCGTCCTGACGGGATGCGATAAATCGATCCCCGAGAGGTCGATTTCTACCCGCCGATTCAGGCAGGTAGTGTAGACCTAGCCTAAGATCCCCTTATACCAGTATAACTGTGTCAACAATAGCCGCTGTACTGGTATAACTACATTGGTGGTAAAAATCACGCCGCCTCCTCCCTCAGCTAACATTGTTATACTAGCGCAAAACGTGTATGTAAACTATATTAGTGTAGTTCTAAATATCTGAACTTTGATGACCATGATAATAACAATGTTGTAAACTATTAAAATTTCATAGATCATTGTTAGCATTTTTGCTATACTGCAGAAATCCTTTTGTGCATTTGTACAATTCAGAAGAATCAAAGAAACCAACATAGTTCTGTAGTCTTAGAGACAATTCATATACAATCCAGTACTTTAAAAATATCCACTTGTTTGTATCTATTTTTCCTTTTAGTCCCAGAGCAAGGATGAAAGCAGTGCAAATTTCTCCAGACTGTTCTAGCAACATGCTTCAGCTTTGATGTAGAAGGATTAGCCATGAATAGTAACCAAGTCATGCAGTTAGGGTGACCAGACAACAAGTGTGGAAAATTGGGATGGGGATGGGGAGTAATAGGAGCCTATGTAAGAAAAAGACCCAAAAATCAGGACTGTCCCTATAAAATCGGAACATCTGGTGACCCTACGTGCAGTTCTCATGTCTACCTTTCCTTGATTGCTTTGCTGCGCCTGCCAACACAGGAGCTGATTTGTGACTAGGTTTTCTGTGATGTGGACACATGTCCAACAAGACATGAACAAATACCACAAACTCAATTAACTCAGGCCACTGAATTGCCATCCCACTAACTAATATTGAAATTACAGTTAGGGCGACCCAGTTTGAGTTGTCATAAGTTCCTGAACGAGCCCTGATGTAGGATTCAGTGTTGCTGGGGCCATTTGGAAGCAAGGTGAATTTCTGAAAAGGTCAAAAATGTGGTCTCTCTATTGTTTGAGGGAGAGGGCTAAATCCCTTATTTGGAAGCAACAACAGACTCATAAACTTCTTTCATGTATCAGCCATTAGAAGGAGACCATATATTCTCATTCTGTGTGATTTAGCACATTTCCATGTATCTTTAATATACAACAACTTCAAAAACCAGACTTCCTGTTTTGCTTGCATGCATGCAGAAATGCATGATAGATTTTTGGGATGCTGACACGAGACATTACGGAGCAGAGATCTGAACCTTCAATCTCTTCATTAGAGTCAGTCAAAATTATTAATATTTTTATTCACAGAATTGACCAGCAATAGCCCAACATTTGGGGATAGAGAAAACTTTACAGAATATTTTGTCAGCATGAAATGCTGCCCTACATGGCCAATAATTTTATTATTGAGGGTCATGCTGCTGCTTAAACCCTTACCTGATTTCCTGAGATGCCTGATACATAATAGTGTAGCCAAGCAAACAATGGAATCTACTTCCTTTTTCTCTTCTTCAAACTTCTGCCAGCCATCCTGCTGCCTGCCAGACTCCTGTGCAAACCATTTAGACAAGATGCTTGTGGCTCTATTGCTGCTGCTATTGCAAAATGTTGAGTTAGGCCTAAATTTTCAAAGTTTTGCATGTCTGTACTTTTGAATGTCCATCTGGAGACACCTTAAAGGGCCTGGTTGTCAGAGGGTGGGTGCTCAGCACTTCTAAAAATCAGGCCCTTTTAAGGTGTCTTCAGGTGAGTGCCCCAAATCACTGCATGCGCAAATGTAGGCTTTAGCCTACCTAGAAAATTGTCCTCTTGGTTATATATGCTTCTTTTAGGGTTTGCATTTTAGGGGCTGATGGGCTTTTCAAGAACTTAGAAAAGATTAAAGTAAAAATAGATGGAACAATATTGGGGGCCTGATCTCCATACACACGTAAAGAGGAGATCTTGTCAGGATGCCTAAATTATTACATTTGAGATAATAAATTAAGACCTGGCAAGATAAATCATTGCTCTTGGCTAAAAGTGAGCTAGCCTGTTTTCTGCTGAGGCCTGAGCACCTACTGTAGGCTGTTTCCTACAGAATTACCATGAGAGTTAAAAAGCAGTGTAGAATGGTTAGCATGCAGACAAAAACAAAGTACAAAGATATTCTCTGCCTCTGGACTGAAAGGATGTATCTTGAATCCTCATACATTTTCTTACCAGTCCCGTCTGTTTTGTCTTTGGTCCATACTCCTAAATGTTCCTACGTGCACTTCTCCATGGCGACTTTGGGAAATGCATCTACAGGTCTTCATTATTCAGTCCCTTCCTGTCATTATGGAAACCAACAGTCTACCTATGGGGTGATGGCAGGTAAGAGAGATTCATTCAGTCTAACAGGTTAGTTATTGGCATGATTGTTTGAGGGAATTTTCCTTCAGAGGGGCTGAGGAAATGGAGGTTAATGAGAGGAAGGATGGCCTTATGGTTAAGGCACTGGACTGGGACTCCAGAGAACTGGGTTCAGTTTCATGCTCTCTCACAGCCTCTATCTGGGGATCCTGAGCAAATCACTTACTTTCTCTGCCTCACTTCCTTGTCTGTGACACTGGGATAATGCTTCCTTTCTCTCACCCACTGTCTGTCTTGTGCACTTAGATTGGAAGCTCTTTGGGGCAGGAACTGTCTTCTGCCATTACTGTATGTGTGTACAATGCCCAGTGCACTGGGGCCCCAATCTCAGTTGGGGCCTCAGGGCCCTATGCAGTACAAATAATAAAAATTATGACTGATTATGAAATTTTTATCGAATTCAGTGAGATAAATTTAGCACAGGATGGAGCTGCTTCAGAATCATCCACCCAGGATGAGATCAATTAAAGAAACAAAAATAAATGTAGTGCCATTTTTTGGTACTCATAAAACTTGTGACAAAATATCAAACATTCAGTTAACTGTGACTCAGATTTTGGCTTGTGAACATTCTATTTCTCAATCCAGAGTCCCCACTCCTTTCTTCGAATACAATGGTTTGAGCATTGGTCTGCTAAACCCAGGGTTGTGAGTTCCATCCTTGAGGGGGCCACTTAAGGATCTGGGGCAAAAATCTGTCTGGGGATTGGTCCTGCTTTGAGCAGGGGGTTGGACCAAATGACCTCCTGAGGTCCCTTCCAACCCTGATATTCTATTATTCTAAGCTGACTTGGAGCAGGTAGGGAAGAAAAAATGAAAAGGGCATTTTCTGGATTCTCCCTACCCCCATGTTGTTCTTCCCTCCCAGTCTCTAGTGATACAAAACAAAGAGGGTGAGGTCACACCTTAACAGCTGATAGCTATGGGTGATCAGGATTGTCCCTTATACTCTCAATTAAAATCACATTGTTATGTGATAGTGGGGCTACTGTATGTGTGACACCACTATACCTTGTTATGAAACATCAAGGGAAATGTCCGGTGCCTGACATCGTTTAGTAGGAATAAGAAGCATTAGTCTTGCAGAGACTGCTGCAGGCTTTATGATTAATAACAGGCTGGCAAGCTTTGAAATAGGTACTTATGTTGAGTATTAACAACTTGCTTTCAACCAGAGTAAACACATCAGGAGTAGTTTCTTTTCACAGAGATACAGTAGCTGACATGTAGGAATGTCAGTCCTTCAGAGTGAAAGGAAATGTGTGTGAAGGCCAAAGAGAAATCACTTAATTCAATTTATGCTTTTCCAAATCTCATGCAGCAATATGAACTGTTTTCACACAGAGGATCAATAGAGTTTATGATGTAACTTGTAAAGATGTTTTAGCACCCAGTGCAGTTCTCTAGAGACCACACTGAAGAGAGAAGATAAATTGTTCAATATAAAGGTGTTCAAGTCAAGTATCAACCAGCAAAATAATGTAATGATGCCAGGGGAAGAGACTTGCCAGGAAATAACTATGGCTCAAAACTAATCCAAAATCAAATACAGTATTTTATTTCAATTGAGAAGGAGGGAAAATGTAAAAATAAACCAGCATAGGTGAATGTTTCCTCATGTAGACTTTTCTGGGACAGCAAGTAAGACTCTTTCTTTCTTCACATGGCCAAATGCTCCTGCTTCTCTGTCTCCTCTTGTGTCTCTGGTACAGAAATTCTTGCTCAGATCTCTATGGGAAGTCCACCGAAGAAGAATCATTAGATGAGGAGGGTTTCCATTCAGAAATATCAACCTATTTCTACACCAAAAGAATTCCATGTTGCTGCAGTCTCTCCTTTTTTCCACTTCCTTTTAGGCATCAAGCCTGCAACCCCAGAGATGTTATCAGCAAGTCTCTCCCAGAGTCGCATTTTACAGACCTGCAGCATGCCCCATCCCAATGTGGTGAATGGAGTCAGCACTCTGCAAGGCAAGTCCTTCTCTTGTTTAGTCTTTTTCCCTTCAGACATTTAACAACTCCCTCCCCCTTTTCACAGTCATACTGCATGCGACTTAATATATCACTAGGGTTAGAACCTCCATTGTATTCCCAGCTCTCTGGAGGATGTAATCTAGGCAGTGAACAAGACAAGAAGAACAAAAGAGAAGGAAGAGAAAGGAAGGATGGTCTTGTGGTTTAGATGCTGGGCTGGAGATGAGGGTTCATTTCCAGACTAGGCTACAGACTGCATGACTGGGCAAGTCAATTACTCTCTAGATTCCCCAGCTCTAAAATGGGGGTAAGAATTTTTCTTTTCTCCCATGCTTTGTCTGCCTTGTCACTTCAGAGAGACAAGGTGGGTGATATCTTTTATTGGACCCACTTTTGTTGTTAATAAAAGATGTTACCTCACCTATGTTGTCTCTCTAAAATCTGGGACCGACACCACTACAACACCAATGCAAGCAACAGTGGAAGATATCAAATATTGTCTGTTCGGGTCAGGGAGTCTCCCTGTTTGTTCAGTGCCCAGCACAAAGGGCACCTGATCTTGATTAAATGGCGCTGTGTAGTCCAGCAGTGAATAAAATTTAGCATAAAGTAGTTCATCCTTGTGCAATTACTTTCATCTCTAAAATTATAATGTGATGATCTTATCACTCATTGGGCTTCATCCTGTACTCTTTACTCAAGGAAATTTCCCATTGAAATTGGTTGCATATAGTACCGAATCTGCATCTCACATGTAGTTTATAAAGTAGTATTGTTGGTACCAGAAAGCTAACAAAGACTATGGGCCAGATCCTCTGCTGGTGTAAACTGACATAGGTCCATTTACTTCAATGAAAGCGATGCTAATTTAGACCGGTTGAGTACCTGTCCCTATCTAAGGTACTTATATGGCCCTCATTCTCATAGTATTTGAACACTTCATAGCATATAGTACTATTATTCACATTTCACAGATAAGGAACTGAGGCAAAGCGTAACAGTTCAGGGAATTGAGCCCTGCTCTCCTCAGTGCCAGGCTGATACCCTAACCACTGGATAGTCCTTCCTCTCTATAGTATGTAATATTACAAAGCTTAACAGTTGGTAGTTGGCACAAAGGTTTATTATTCAATGCTGGAGAATGATTATATCAAATTGTGTTTTTTGGCTTCATGCAGGTGGCCTGACCCCTTGCCTTTATAAATTCCCTGAACATGCGCTGAGTGCCAGTTCCTGTGCTCTGGGGCATGGCTTCACTCCCATGCACCAGTCTATCCTTGGAGATGATCCCGCAGCCACTGACTTCAAGCAGGAATTCCGCAGAAAAACCAAGTCTGTTGAAGAGCCAATAGACATGGATTCCCCTGAAATCAGGGAACTGGAAAAGTTTGCCAATGAGTTCAAACTGAGGAGAATTAAGCTAGGTATGTGCTTTCTACCAGCCAACTATAGCCTGAAAATCCAAATGAAAGCTCAATTATTTCTGTATCTTTTATATTCTAGTCCATGTGATATGCTTTATTATTTAAAACCTGCCTGACATTTACCTAGCTTTCTCCATACCTAGAAGACTTGTTTAGAATTAATTACCTCAAGCTTTTTGCAACTTTTTGCAATAATAGTAAGTGATTTTAAAACTTTCTGCTGTATCTACTACTTCTGTCTGCCTCTGAGAGCAAATTATTGTTACCTGGACTAGCTGTATTCTAGGGGAAAGCGTGATCAATTACACAAATCATGCTGTAAAGTTGCATTTAATTCAGCCTTTCAGGATTGTCATGGAAATTTGCCAAACTGGATACAAAAGCTACTTGTTACTATGATAGTGAAAAACCTAAGGATACTTTGCCTGTCAAAAATTATTCACCAAGGCCATTGTACAAGTTGTAAGGCCGATTTAAGGTCTGATTTAGATACAAAATGACACATTTTAAAGTGATTTCAATGGAGTTGAACAGGAAATGATTTTTATCCTGTGAAAAATTGATGAAAGTGAAATTTTATTCATTTTCACCACGTTTTTGGTTGCCCAAAATAGTAAAAAATACATTTTTTTATATAAAACCCATTTTTTAAAAAAGAAAGCAGCTGTTGTAGCAATACATTTCCATTTAGTCAAAAAGCCATTTTCATTTTAGATGGAAAATTTCCATCCAGCTCTAGTCTTCAACGCTTCCTGTAAAATTGTACCCCAAGTTTTTTCCTTTAAATATCCAATTGATACATATAGGGTGACCCCCTCACCAGTATGCAGGAATTAAAGTAAAGACTTGTTTACACACGCAGTTGCACTGGTTTAACTCAAATTGGTTTTAAAACAGATGTATTTAAACTGGGGCAAAACCCCTGTGTGGACACTCTGAAGTGGATTTAAACTCAGCTTATATTAATATAGCTGAAATGAATTCCATGCTGACAAACAAAATTGATACTTCATTCTTAATTGAAGGGAGTTGCAGTGATTAGGGCTTGACTACACTTAAAAACTATATTGGCAGAGCTACCTTAGTTAGGGATGTGAAAAAACGCACACCCTTGAGCAATGTAGTGTGCCAACAAACCCCCAGTGTAGATACAGCTGTGCTTATGAAAGAGGGCTTCTGGCAGCATAACTAACTTTGTTTGGGAAGGTGTTACTACATTGGCAGAAAACCTCGTTCTAGCGTGCAGTGCATCTACAATACGGTGCTATGTCAGCATAGTCTCTGTAGCATAGATATAGCCTTAACTACAAGAATTTCTAAACAGATTTAGTGAAATCAGTACAAATTTTGTGTGTACACAGGCCTTAGTTAAATCAGTGTAACTGTGTGTAGATAAGGCCTTGGAAAAAGCCTGGGAGAACACAGCTGAAAATAGGGTTGCCAACTTTCTAATCGCACAAAACCGAACACCCGAGCCCGACCCCTTCCCCGAGGCCATGCCCCCGCTTATACATTTCCCCCTCCCTCAGTGGCTTGCTCTCCCCCACCGTCACTCACTTTCACTGGGCTAGGGCAGGGGGTTGGGGTGCGTGAGGGGGTAAGGGCTCTAACTGGGGTTGTGGCCTCCAGGGTAGTGCCAGAAATGAGGGGTTCAGGGTATGGAAGGGTGCTCCGGGCTGGGGCAGGAGTTTGGGGTATAGGAAATGGCTCCAGGATGAGGGGTGGGGCAGAGGGGTTCAGGGTGTGGGAGGGGTCTCTGGGTTGGGGGTTGGGGTGCAGGAGGGGGGTCCAGGTTTGGGGGGGCTCAGGGATGGGGGAGGAGGGTGGGGCTCAGTGTTGGGGCACGTGCTTAATCGGGTGCAGCGGGGGGGCTAAGACAGGCTTCCTGCCTGTCCTGACTCCATGCTTTGCATGCCCCAGAAACAGCCAGCAGGTCCAGCTCTTAGGCAGAGGCACGCCAGGTGGCTCTGCGCACTGCTCTTGCCTGCAGGCACTGCCCCCGCAGCTCCCATTGGCCACAGTTCCCGGCCAATGGGAGTGCAGAGCCGGTGCTCGGCGTGGGAGCAGAGCGCAGAGCCCTGTGGCCCCTCCGCCTAGAAGCTGGACCTGCTGGCAGCTTCCAGGGCACAGCGCAGAGCCAGAACAGGTAGGGATTAGCCTGCCTTAGCTCCGCAGCATCACCGACCTAACTTTTTATGGTCCGGTCGGCAGTGCTGACTGGAGCCGCCAGAGTCCTTTTTCGACCGGGTGTTCCACTCGAAAACCAGACACCTGGTCACCCTATTTTGAGGGAGAGGCCCTTACTTCTTGGGGGGAACTGAGGTCTCCCTTCTCCTGCCTCTTTGCTGGCTGTTGAAATGATCATGTTTCAAGCAGAAAAATCTGAATTCAGAGTCTGGGAGGAGATGGTGGCTTTCTACAAGCCCTTTTGTCAGTAAGTGGAGTATCCCCAGCACTTGACAGGAGGAGAATAATTGTTCAGTCTGAGAGACCCCATCAGCATCTGCCTGATTCTTCACACCTGACCCCCGGCTAGTTCCCTCCCCTCCTTTGGAAGGCAGAGAAGGAAAGGGAGGGAGCCTCCTGCCTCAAACTCTCCTGCCTCTTCTGGGAAATACAGGCTGGCCTGCCAGCTTCTTCCCCTTCCTTAGCTGGAACCCTGGGGGCACAGAGTGGCCCTACCAGTTCCTTCTCTCTACCTGGAACTGCATAGTGTGTGGTGTGTGTGTGGGGGGGGGGGGGGGGCGGATGGTGGGACAGCTCCATGCCCTATCTCTCACACATACATGCCCTTCTGTTTTGCTCTTTGGGAACCTGGACTTCTCTCAGATTCACGTATTCCCTTGTCCCCGGGCCATGTCCGATCACACATGATGACGCAATTTCATTTCACTAAATGATCTCAATGTACAACATACAACAACCAAAACTGAGGACTCCCCCTCCAGTTTTAGATTTATTTTAACCACTGCTGAGTATCGTGGTGACCAGTTTGTTACCATCTGAGAACTACTTGGGGATGATGTGAAATGTGTGGATGATCTCACCTTGGTTTCTGGTGGATAGATGTCCACATCACACTCACTGGCAGCCTCAGTACCATACAAAGATTAAATGGGCACTGGTGCTGGATTATCCCAATCACCCCTATAGATTTCCCTCCATGACAAGATGGAAGCACACTGGTGGGGTAGAGTGAGGAAGCTTGGTCCTGTCTGTGCTGCACTGAAAAAAAACGATGTTGTGTGTGTCAAACACTGCAAATCCAGCCCTCATGGGTACTAAATTCACTTTGTGAATTAAGAGTTGTCATTTTTACATTATCTCCTATAACAATAGATTGTATCATTACAGAATATGACACAACTCCACTGTAAAACACAGCTCTATAAAAGCATGTAATTTATATGGCTGTAAAAGTCATCTGTATTATCTCTACAGCTACAGGGATATTACCATCCATTTACAGTACAGAAATGAGGGCTAGAGCAAGTGTATGCTGACTGAAACAGTGTTTATGACCTGTGCTGTTTTGCTGTATATCCTGACTATTTAACTGTCAGTCATAGAAAGGGCAAGATTACCTATGCCAGGGGTTCTCAAACTGGGAGTCGGGACCCCTCAGGGGGTCATGAGGTTCTTACACGGGGAGTCGCGAGCTGTCAGCCTCCACCTCAAACCCCACTTTGCCTCCAGCATTTATAATGGTGTTAAATATACACCTCTACCCTGATATAACACGACCCGATATAACATGAATTCGGATATAACGCGGTAAAGCAGTGCTCGGGGGCTGCACACTCCGGTGGATCAAAGCAAGTTCGATATAACGCGGTTTCACCTATAACGCGGTAAGATTTTTTGGCTCCTGAGGACAGCGTTGTATCGAGGTAGAGGTGTATTTAAAGTGTTTTTAATTTATAAGGGGGGGTCACACTCAGAGGCTTGCTATGTGAAAGGGGTCACCAGTACTAAAGTCTGAGAACCACTGACCTATGCCCAAGAGTACTTCAGTAGTAATTATTTACGGTGGCATGATCCTGAATTCCTGAACACTCAGAACTCCATTGACTTAAACAGATGTGACTGAATAGAGACTGCAGGATTGGTTTTAGTGCCATTAATAAAAATGGGATGTACTAACAGCCTAAACTGAAGTGGACAGTGCCCTGCTAGGGCAAAATGTTAATGTTAATACAGACAGAGGGTTTGATACTGTGAGGTACTTTGCACCCTCACTACCTTCTAATGTCAATAGGAGGGGAAGACACTCAGCACCTTGAGGATTATGTCCGTTATGGGGAGGAGGTAGAAGAAGACTTAGCTGTGTCTACAGTGGGGATTAGGCCAACCTAACTACGGCGCTCACTGAATGATATTTTTCTCAAGCCCTGAGCAACATAACTGGGTCGATCGAATTTTTGAGGTGTGGCCCAGGCCTGTGAGAGAAAGGACCAACCCAGGAAATGGGATTGGAAATTGTGCTTTATTTTGTTGTTTACATTCTTCTTTGCATAATGGTAGTGCCTAGAGCCTCTGCTCATGGATCAGGGCCCCATTGTCCTAGGCACTGTACAGATACATAATGAAAAGACAGAGCCTCCCCCATAGAGCTTACAATCCAAGTATATGAGGAGAATCAGCAGGTGGACACAACAAACTGAGGGTAAACGAGATTTAACAGGACAATAATGATTACTGTGAGAAGCAGCAGTCACAGAAGTTACAATGGTGTGAGTAAAAATCAATGTATATTCTTAGATTTTTAAGTCTTAACTCTGAATTGTTCTTCTTTTCTGGGTTGAAATCAGACCCCTAACATTAAAATAAACTTGTAATTCTGTGTGCAGAATTACTGCATGACCATTTGCTGTTGCTTCCTGCCTGTATTATCATACTGGTCAAATTGCATATGTCTCATGATAGACATGGGGACGGATGCTCATCTCATCTGTTTACACTTGTGAACTCCACTGAAGTCAAGAGAGTTACAGCAGAGTAAGACTGATGTCAGATCAAAAACAGTCAAAGAAAATGCTTAAGGCATCTTGCCAAAAAGTGTGTTTTGGGGGCAGTGACCAAGGCAGAATGTGTCTTAATGTAAATAAACCAGGTTAGGTTACTCAATTTTTTTTTCTCTTTATTGCTTTTTGACAGGCTATACACAAACAAACGTTGGAGAAGCCCTGGCAGCTGTGCATGGCTCTGAATTCAGTCAAACAACTATTTGCCGATTTGAAAATTTGCAGCTAAGCTTCAAGAATGCCTGCAAACTGAAATTGATATTATCCAAGTGGCTGGAAGAAGCAGAACAAATAGGAGGTAGATATTTATAATACCCCTAGAATTTAGTCTTACCCCTATAAGAAGCTCTTTAATGTATAAGATGGCTAGTAGGGTATAACTTCCACTGGTCCAGCTTTTTGTTTATTCAGGTGGGGAAGTTGAATATAAATATTGTAGGATCAGTACATGCATTAAATTCAGTAGGACTGATGCCTGTGTCGTGGGTAGAGGGAAGCAGACCTGTCAAACACGTGTGGCCGGCACAAATTAGAGAGATGTGACTCTCTTATATGTCGCTCATTTCCCTCAAGCCTATTCATGCAAACTAACCCAGATCTTGAGGTGCAGGGCAGCTGTTTTTGATGCACTACCATTGAATTCTAGTCCAAAAGACAGCATAGCTGGCTGTGGAAGAATCACTGGTATAAGGAGATCTTCCAATGGCAGAGTGCTGATGTTGTTCCCTACTACAGTTGTAAGGGATGTGGCAATGGGAAAAGGAATGTGACTAGCCAACACCAAGCCCCCTATATCAGTAGTAGGGTGGGGGCTATCATGGGCGTGTTGACATCTGCTCTTTGCCATTGAAGGATCCCCTTCCCTATGCCCTGCAAAACCCCAGCTGCTGGATGAGCCCCTGGGATTCTGTGGCAGAGGCATGATTTAGGACATGATTTAGAATAGGTTAGCTGTTGTAAATTACATCGGAAGACCTGCCCAGCACATAACTGGCTCAGGATGAGGAGAGTCTCTGGCAGTGTGTGGTCCTTGGCCTTAATCATGTAGCTGAGGTTCTGCACGTCAGCAGATGGTATGCTGGGGGTTAGAAGAAAGCGGATCCAGATCCAAAGCCTCTCTCCACTGTAACATTCCCTAATGACCAAAACAGGTGAGCATGGGACTCTTTCATATACAGTATAGCTGACTCCTTCCTATTGAGGATCCAACTCAGCTTGGACAGAATTTCTCATCTGGGCTCCAAGATGGCTGATCCTTTCTAATCTCCCAATCAAGGCTTCTCCTAAGGCATGCAATATGTTCTGGAGTGCCACTGACAGAGGACCTAGTACACACTAGATTGGATTAAATCAGATCATGTATGTTCTATCACTATCAAAATGACTTTACTGATCATTAAGAAAAGAGAAATGATGTGTAAGTAAGAAGATACTTCCATTGTTTTAGTAGTTTTTACCATTGCTATTTAACCCCTACATTTTTATCTGTTCAGTGAACTCCTGCCTGCTTTTTCCTCCTCCAAACCACAAATGATGGGGCGGGGCCTGGGGTGGAAGGGGCGGGGATGGGAGGGGTCAGCCTCCCCCAGCCAGCGCTGTCCGGCCTGTGCCGCCTGGGGCTCCGGTGGCAATTTAAAGGGCCTGGGGCTCTGGTTGCTGCTGCGGTAGCAGCGACGTCCGCCATCACCAGAAGCCCCAGGCCCTTTTAAATGGCCGGGCCCTGGGGCAGCTGCCCCTTTTGCCTGTTGTTGTTTGTTCTAGAAAAGCATCCTCCACCTCCTCTTCTTGATTTGATGGTCAATAGTAGATTCCATATCATCATGTCACCCTTATTTTATTCCCCCTTTATCTTTCCCAGAGACTTTCAAATGGTCTGCCTCTCATCTACTTCTGAACCTCCGATAAATGGGTATATATTCTTGATGTACAATGCAATACCATCTCCTTTTTCACTGACTGTCCTTCCTGAACAAGCTATACCCCTCTATAACTACTATTCCAGTCCTGAGATTTAGCCCACCAATCTCTGTGATACCAATTGTCATCATTTAGCTTATGTACTAACTTTCAGTTTTTCCTGTTTATTCCCCATACTCCTTCCATTTGTGTATAGGCATCTAATATGTTGAGCAGATTCCCCCACTAATTTCCCTCTTCTTGCTCCTGTGACCCTATTGTAATTTTCCATGTCCTGCACAACATCTAGCTTTTTTCTGTTTAACTGTGGGCATTTGTCAACTGCCTCTTTGAATCTAGTATAAAGCCCTCACTAGGTTGGTGAATCAGTACGCGAAGATACTCTGGCCCTTCTTGGTCAGGTGGACCCCATCTCTTCCTAGCAATCCTTCTTCCCGGAACAGCATCTAATGGTTGAGGAAGCCAATGATGCAATCTCAGATGCACCCAAAATCAGTCCTTGTGTGAGCTCAGCCTACATTCATGAGCCAGCAATGGCTTCTTGGAACATGTTCATAATGGGTACAAATTCTTTTGCCCTGTGTGTGGATATCCAGGCCAACAGACTTGGTGTTTCTCCAGTGCATTTTGAAAATGAACTGCATCTCTTGGAACAAATTACATCAACATTTCCCACTATGACCATTAAACCCACTGGCACAAAACTGCAAAAAAATCAAACCAAAACAACAACCTCTGATCAAACCCAAACCAGGCCTATGAGTTTGCAACAAGATTCAGCCCTGGGAAACATTACCTGGGGTTGGACAGGAAATATTTTTATGTACAGACTGATTCTGACACACTCAAAAAATGAATCTGTTTTGAACCAGCATAGATAGGTTCCTTCAGCACTATTCACAACATAAACCTTTACTTACTCCTGAAGGGTGCAATTACAACATTCAGCCACCAGATGTCCCACAGAGAAATGTTTCAAAGCAGACCATTCAGCAACAATATCTGGCATGCGTTCCTGGTATTAAAACATGACTGGTAACAATGGTTTCTAGAAATTATTGTACTTGTTTTAATCTTGTATGGAAGGTAACTCCCCCTTTTTTAATATAGCTTTATACAATGAAAAAGTTGGCGTGAATGAGCGGAAAAGAAAGCGCAGAACCACCATAAGGTAATACAATACTTCAGAAAATTATGTATTGAAAGTCCTTTTTTTTTTTTTTTTCTTTTTTTTTCAGATCCTTATTAGGTTTGAAATCTAGAAGCCCTATCTAGAGCTGCTTGAAAAAAAAATCAAAATTTGAAAAACGGGGACAAATTTTGTGTGAAAATTTTCACAAAAAATTTCATACTATTTATCAACCAACTAAGGAGCTGCACCAAAACTTTCAGCCATTTAATTTTTTTCAACAACATCCCCCCCCACACACACACACACTTTTTGTTTGTAAAAAACATACCCACTTATGACCCCTGGTAATCCCATCCTTTAGATGTCCAACTCAGTAATAAGCTTCTGTACCCCACTGGCTCCTTATACAGCCTCTGAACTTCCTTTGTGGGAGGTTTGATGATACAGGAGCAATTGCACTACTTCTGCTATCACTTGTGGTGGTTAGTCCTGGTGGGTCTGGGGAAAAGCTTGCTGCAAAGAGCATCTTCCCCTCCCTCAGCCAGGGATCTGGATCCTGTGGAGCTTCTGCAGAGTGGCTTTCACAGGCTGTAAAGAAAGAAGGGAAGGGAGTGCAGGGTTGCCAACTTCACATAGCAGGAAGTTGTCAGAGAAACCCTGAAAAGTCACTAGATGCCGCTATTTAAGCATTCAAAAGGCGCCAAAAATGTCATTAAATAACATTTCCACAGAATTCAACAAAGAATTTTGTACATACACATGATAAATTTGCATTGAACATAATACTGAAATAATACATTATAGAATTTCTATATACACTAATCACTGAAAATGTGTTTAGACTGTAGGTCATATTCGAACAGGTGTTTGTCATAGAGTTTTGAAGCGCATTCCAGGGCTGCTTGTGCTGAGAGACTGTGAATGGGATTTGACTAGCGCTCCTGTTGGCAGAAGAGGTTATTTACTGTAACTGGAGGTTCTTTGAGATGTGTGGTCCCTATCTGGATTCCAAATGTGGGTGCGCATGCACGCGGTGCGCCAGAACTGTTCATAATTGTGTCCGTTGACCCGCACATGCCTTGTGCATCAACTGCGTGGCGTATCTGAGGCTTTAAAGGGGCTGTGAGGATTGACGCTGCTCCAGTAAGCAACAGAGCCTGGAGCGGAGGGCGGATATTGGAATCCAAATGGGGACCACATATCTTAAAGAACCTCCAGTTACAGTAAATAACCTTTTCTTCGAGTGATGGTCTGTATGTGGATTCCAAATGTGGGAGAGTAGTGAGCAGTACTCATTGCAGAGGTGGGCGTGAGGGCTCACCAGAAGTTACAGGCTGAAGGACAGCTCGGTCAACTGCCGCATCCACCACTGCAGCAGGGGCGAGGGCATAGTGGGCAGTAAAAGTGTGGACAGAGGACCAAGTGGCCTCCCAACAAATATCCTGCCATGGAACATCCTTATAAGGCTGCCATGACGGTTTAAGCACGCATGGAGTAGGCTATGACCCCTGATGGGAGGTGTGTGTGTGGGGGAGGACGTGAGAGAGAGCGTAGCAGTCCATAATACAGAGGGAGATCCAGGGGGAGAGGCGTTGTGAAGAGAGGGTGCAGCCCCAGCAGCATTCTGCAATGGTGAGGAAGAGGCAGGACGAAGCGCAGAAGGCACAAGTGCGGTGCAGATAAAAAGCAAGTGCTTGGCGGACATCGAGGGTGTAGTATGTGTTCCCTGTATGAGCCGTGTGGTTTAGGGTAGAATGTGGGGACGATGTCCCTTGGAGCTGGCTTTCTCTGTTTTTGCATCTTTGGTGGCCCACATCTATGGAGTTCAGCCCCCTCTGTCTGTGGAAGCAGAGCGGGCACGGGCCCTCTTGTTGTTAATATAGCTCATTAACAAAAGTATTTACATACATAAATAAGCAAAATCAGAGGGGTAATGATACATCAATAAAATTATGTATTTTGATCCAATTATTAGCTAAACATGATGAAACCTCTCTGCTAGGTTATTCCAAACTATGATGACCTGGATAACACCCAGGAATGGCTCCAGTACACAGATCTGTCCCAATGCCTGTACTAGCATGTATACAATCCCAGTGTCATTGCAAAGAGCTTTGCACAAAATTTTGTTAAAACCAGCATGACTCTAGATTTCTATGTTAGGGGGAGAGTGGCCATCTGGAATAATCTTCAGAGATCCGTGGTGTTTAGTGTTTAGAGTCAAAGACCCTTTTTCCAATTACTGAAGAGGTCATAGTCCCAATATGAGACACCTCTTCACATCTCCAATTCTACATGGCATGCTGCTGCTCAGCTATCACACTCCTGATGCATCAGTGCTATGCTGGCATCCATGAAACACCTTTGATTTGCAAGCCAATACAACTAAGTGGTTCCTTACACACTATAAATGATCAGTTTTGTATACACACTGTGCAAGGGGCACTCTGTGGACACAGTAAGAAAATCTTCACTGATCCCTTGGGGAGCATGAGGACCCAGTTTGGGAACCTCTTTAAGAATGAGCTGGAAGAGAGTACACTACCTTATCTGCACTTCACTCTCATTGAAGATAGGGAGAATTGTTAGGTAGGTTTCTTGAGGATAAAATAGAAGCTGGAGATGAAAAACAGTAAGTGAGTTAGCCTACTCCAGTGCAGGAGCTTTGTATGACCTGATCAAACTATCCATAATATGGATATGGGAAATTATATTTTATTTTCAGCTAGCTAGCATCAATAGCCCAACATAAAAAAGAAAATGCATTACTAATGAAATTACACTAAGAGCACTCTAAAGTTACATGCAAAGTTATTCACCAGTACTAGAATTTCTGCTGAAGTGTCTTGAACCTAACAGAAATAAACACACTCCGTATCTAGAATAAAGTGTACAGTGACCTCTTGTGGACCAAAAAAAAAAGATACAGCTAATGCTAAAACCAGGTGTGACAAGATCAAGCTTTTCATCCTAACTGCTTTTTTACAAGCACGTTTCAGGCACTTATTCTTTTGGGACAATAAACAGCACCAAAAAAAAAAAAAAAAAAGCAGCCAGATTTCACCTATATTTAGCCTCGCTGTCTGAATATGGGAGGAAAATAGCACTTAACTTTTATGCTGTCTGTACCAGCTCCTTTGGGTTCTACTGCAATGCAAATAGTAGGCTAAAACTGACTTTTGGGGAGAGTGTGATGATTCTTGGGATAGGTTGCCTGCCATGTGCTATATAACTTGCATGAACTACATTTAATGGGTTACCCCTAAATAATAAAGTCATTATTTTCAGTGTGGATTGAAGGTAAAGATGCTATCAGATTTTTGCAGCCCATGGCAGCATGGAACCATAATGCCCTTTAAACTCAGGTTTTTACTGAGCGGGAAAGCAAAGCAGTTTCTTGCCTTTTTTAGAGCAATATGTTTAATGTTCATATCATTGCAGCTTAGTCTAAAATAGCAGCCATGACCTTAGTATGTCCAAAGTCAATAAAAGGGGCATTTTTATTTATCCCTTCTTCCAGCATTGCTGCTAAAGAAGCTCTAGAGAGAAACTTTGGGGAACAAAGTAAGCCTTCTTCTCAAGAGATTATGAGGATGGCTGAGGGGCTTAACCTTGAGAAGGAAGTTGTGAGAGTTTGGTTTTGCAACCGAAGACAAAGGGAAAAGAGAGTGAAGACAAGTTTACACCAGAACACCTTTAGTTCCATTATGAAGGAGCATCACGAGTGCCGGTAAAGTTTCCTGTGCATAGTTGAGGATTTCTGGGCCTTTAGGATTTTTTTTTTAAAAATATTTTGTCAGTCTGAACAGAAACACTTGTTCCCTTTACAAGTTAGTCAATTTTAACTGTAATATATCTTCAGTGGGCTTTATCTTAACGTAAAAGATTGGAAACATTGTTACTATATGTATTTGTGCAGGGGAGACGGTTGCTTAGCTGTCAACTATTCAATCTGCATTAGTTGATTAATGTGTTACGAATTGCACCATAAGTACAATACACTCACTAGTTAATGTGAATTTTGCCCAAAAGATCTGGAATGAAATCCTTTGTGTTAATTACAAAGAAGTTACTTACTGGTACTGTAGTGTGTGAAAATGTTGACTGCACATGCACACTTGTGTGATGTGCCCCTCACTCCCCAAACAGCAATGAGCTTCACAAACCTTCTAGAAAAGCAACAACTGTTGGGATCACTGAAGTGCCCCTTCCCAGCACCAAACATTTAGAGCTGAGGGAGGAGGCTGCATGATCAGTGGCTGGTCCTCCTGCTAAACTTCAGCATCATTGAACTCTGTGGACAGTGACTAGGTAATTGAGACAGTTGCCCGTCTTAAAAAACTGCTTACTGGCAAACAGCCTTTCTTCTTTAAAGCGGCCTCTACATCTTCCCTCTTGTGGAGTCTAGCTGGTAGCCCACCCTCATGGGGTTGTATTGAGTTCTATTTAAGCAAGGACTGCAGAACTGCCCTCCCAAAGGGAGCATCGAATGTAGCTGCTTGGTCAAAAGAGAACTGCTATGTAATTGTGAGGCCAGGACTCCAGGTAGCAGCTTGGCAGATTTCTAGGATGGAAACATTACAGAGGCATTTTGGCTGCTGCCTTAGCCCTGGTAGAATGAGCTTTAAGACCCTTGAGGTACTGACACCTTCGCTAATGCATAACATTTCTCAATACACAGCCAATCCATTTAGACAGGTGCTGAGCAGAAATGGCATTTCCTTTACACTGATTGCCAAAGGCTACAGAAAGTCTTGCTGACTTTCTAAATGCTTTAAACCTAATTAAATCAAAACTCAAGTATAACCTCATTTTCCCCTGGGGAGAATGAGGTTTAGAAAAGAACAGGCAGAAATCATTATTTCTAGTCCTCTCTTCTCCTGTCCTGCAGAGCTGACAAAATGATTTCATAGCTCCACCTCCCAGGAAGCCAGGGACTGAGGGGAGTTGGAATAATGTGACTTCAGCACTCAAGGGACAGGTAGTCCCGTGATCACTGCAGCAACATTGCTCCCATTATTTGTTACAGTGATACTAATTAATGTGTACATATTTCAAGCTTTTTCCCAGGACTAAAATTACAGAAATGCACATTAGTGGTAATGGTAAATACAAAACTAATTTTTTATGAAGCAGGCGTGATGGTGATTTAGAAAATGACTAGATAATAGATCCAGAAAGAGATTATAATATTTGAGGTCACTAAGGTGAGTGTATATCACGGAGAACATATTTATGTTGGTGTGCTTTAAATAATACATAAGCACAGCCAAGAAGGGGCCCTAGGCATGTTAAACTAAGGAATATAGTCTCCTGTATTAAGAAAATATATTGTTATGAATGAACTGCATTATTGCTTTTATTTTTCTCCTTAGGAGAGAATTCTAAATTAAAACTAAGGGGGGGCGGGGGGAGAATATCCCTCTCCCCCTTGCTAATGCATGTTTTATACAGGATTTGAACTATTCTAACCCCCAGACTGTCGCAACACAAACACAGATCAGTCACTACTTTACAAAGCAAGAGTGCACTTTCTGGGATTAAGCCTCAGTCTTCACCCCCAACCAAAGCAAGTTTAAATAAAAAAAAAAAAATAATTTTAAAAAAAAAAAAAAAAAAACATTGGAAAGAGTAGAGAAATGAAGGTGATGACTTGTAATTTTATTCCTTGGTTACTTTTTGTTTCTTTGTTTGAAGTTTCTTGTGGTGTATTATGCATATGTAGTCAAACTTGCAATATGGTATAGTTTTAGATTTTATTTATTTTCTAAATTATTTGCCTGTTTAAAAAGGGTTATTATGAAAAACTGTAACCCTACTCTTTGCCAAAAATAAAGCATTGTTCAAATAACCTGTAATACCAAATGTAACGGTCCACATTTGTTTGGTTGTGATAGTATTTTGATTTTACTTTAGGTGGCAACAGAGTGGAGCAACTAATCTTTTTTGTATGCTACAGTAAATGCGTCAGCAGTCATTACCCCGATGCTCTTGTCCTCCAAGAGTGATTATGGGTAAAGGACACTTTCAAAAGCATGGCAAAACAAATGAAACCAGGCACTGTGCCATTTTCACATAACGGAATAGTGAACGGTTAACTACAGCAAGCAGCTTGTCCAAAAACATCTGGGTTACAGAAACATTAACACAATAGGGCACACTTCAGACCACCAGATTGACAGCCTTAAGATGTCCTACACCTAGATCCCTGACCCTCAGGAAGGTGGGGAGTTCAACCCGATCTCTAGAAGCTACTGATCACTCGTCTGGTTTCACCCTCTTCCAGGCATCCTTCTGAGAATGCTCTTCTGATACCTGATCCTTTAAACCTGGGGGACAAGCAGCTGCAGTCTTAAGGTAGCCATATGCATTTGACTTATGCAGGCTGTATCTTACCCTTCCCTCCCCCCCTTACAGGTCATACGTATTCTTGGCTCCTAATATTTCCCTTCGTAAGGCTAAGGTGATGCCTTTTAACAGTTTATATTAAACTTTGTGGTGGGACAGAAGTTCTCCACTAAGCTGTAATAGGGTGTCACTACCAATAAAAGATATTACCTCACCCACTTTGTCTGACTAATGATAAAAGCAACTGAGCTTTGAATTAAACAATTTGAGAGATTGTTTTAAATAGTGAAGGCGCATTGTAGACAAATGGTCGATGAAATATGGGGCACATAGCAATATCAAGCCCAAAGCAAGGAATACTGGTTTTTGTTTTGCCAAATGACCATTTTCACTGCTGTTTCAATTGTATTTAAGTGCACAGTTTCTAATACTTACAGCCATAATCTTTGCTCTGATTGCAGCAAAAATAAATTGGGCAGGGCTGGGTTGTGGGAGGGGGAAGGTGAAACAGTGAAGAGGGGAGTGGGACTAGAGTAGGGTCAGCAGTTTTCAGCTACTTTTTTTTTTTTTTGTAGCCCTACTAGGGTGACCAGAGAGCAACTGTGAAAAAACGGGACGGGAGTGGAGGGGTTATAGGCGCCTATATAAGAAAGTCCCAAAAACCTGGACTGTCCCTATAAAAACAGGACATCTGGTCAACCTAACCCAACAAGCTAGTGCTAAGGTTCAGTGTGTGCAGAAGCCTCCCCACCCCCACCAGCAACAGTAACAATCAAATTTTAAAAAAATAAAAATAAAAAAACTGATGGAATTCACAACTAATATCTCTACTAAGTGATAACATCACAAAAGATTATGAAGTCCACTATTAGATAACTTACATGCAAGACCCCACCATCAGGACAGCCATTGTGGGAATAAAAGCTTTTATTAGATTTTTACAAAATAAATTGTAAAAGAAAATTCACCCCAAGTGTCAGGAGTGTATGTGTGTATTATGTACACTTGCACATTCCAAATGCATGGTTTGGCCCCATGTTTTCTAGTGAAAACAGCATTCTGTATTTCTACACCAAAACCTAGACCTGGGCTCACAAACTGATGATTATAACTTATTTCCCTGCTCAGTCCTGCATTGGCAGATGTGATAATAGCAATCCCACTCAGGACTTGCTTCCCCACTTAGAGACTAAGCACTCTTTGATTAAATGGCTTCCCCTTAAAGCCACTGCTATTCTATGGACCTGATGATGATACAGATCAGAGACTGTGGAAAACCTTCGGATCTGAGCCTGTTCCTATTATACTGTTATCCAAATCACTTGTCTAACCATACCTTCTATTGTACAATGTAATACCCAGCATTTTTTTTAACCTAAAAGGAGTAATCATAGGCATAAGGCAGCCAAGTCATTCTGATAAGATTTAGATTTCACCTGCCAATATGCAATCACATGTACCTTTGTAAACAATACTGTATCTTTAAATAGTTGTTATTAGGGGATAAGTACTGTAAAATATATACACATGAAATTTCAGGCAAGATTCCTTTTCCAAGTGCTGAAGTACTTTATATATGAACTTCAGCATGGACTGCTATCAAGTTTAGATGGGACTTTTCAGAATATTTTGTACCTGGCAATAACTGCCTTAACAGTAGTTACTTTACCCTTTAACGATTAATACAATTTTGAAAAATCAGGAGGGTATAAGCAAGGTTTTATATACACAAAGGCACAACAATTCTGTTGAAGTTAGCTATGTTACAGTACAATACAGTTTATTCAGTGCCTTTCATGCAAAATATTCACTAAAAATATTTAGTTCAAGCCTCTTCCACTGAAGTCAATAAGAGCTGGATTGCACCCATACCCTTCAGTAAGTAGTACAATTATCTAAGAATGAATCAACTCAGTTTTACTAAAGACACCGGAAAAACAAAGCTATAATTGCCTACACTTACTAGTGTCAAGGTTCTCTCTCACCAAAAGAAAAAGGTTATCCCTTTTCAAACTGAAAGCAATTGTAAAGACAAGATCATAAAATATTCTAAGAACTTTCCATGTGTAGTGATTTTATAAACACTCCAAATATTATCCAGAGAAATAATGTCAACAATCATAGGATGACAATTTCAAAAAAGCTAAACTGATGAAGATCTTGTATTATAATTGTTATTGTTCCAAGTCTGCTTGCCAGCCGACATTTTGTAAATTAAAAAAAAGCCAGTGCTGCTCAAGCAACTAAGGTGTGGGGATAAATCTTGAATGCAACACAACTCAAATTCAGACCTGGTGTAAATGGATGTACCCTTTACCCTAGATCGCAATCTGGTGTTCAAAAGAATCCCACATGCAAGTTATCTATTCATGTCATCTGATAAAGC